TTTTGTTTGACTGATTCTCTTTTTTACTGTCTAAAGCTCTTTATTTGATGGATTTGTACTTGCTATTTGACTATCATAGGAATCAGTCACCAAGATGAAGTTGAAACATCAATGGTGACTCCTTTTGTGCAAGTATGTTACTTCCTTTACTTTCTTTATGTGAAAAAAAAAAAACTTTGCGCAATGCATTGCAACTAAATGAAATTGAGATAGTAGTTTCATTCACACATAAGCTCTGATAATCCAGTCAAATTCCTTCTCCTTCCAGAGCCTGTTTTAATGTAGTAAACAGTTGATCTTATTCGACACTTTTCTTTGAATCTAGGAAATGCTTGACAGTATAGAGTTTGCCAGAGGTGATAATTCTTCTCAATGGGGTTCCCTTAGAGCTGCGATGGGGCACCCAGAACCTTTTGAACTGAAATATATTGCTATTGGTAATGAAGATTGTGGGAAACCATATTATCAAGGTACACTTTTTTTTTTTTTTTTTTCCATAAATTATTGTGCTCTACAATAATTGCTATGTATGTCAAATCCACTGCTTTATAGATTGTACACCTGTTTTTGTTGGCAAGTTCGTGATTATATGCTTCCCGCCTTTGACATATCTGTTTTGCTTATAGAAATTCATAATAGAAAAGGGCAAAAATTACATTCTACTATGTAGCAAGTGTACATCAGTTGAATAAAAAAAATTTCTTCCAAGATTAATGCTATGCCAGAAAGGAAAAAAATGATTACAGCAGGAATGGGTCAATGACTATTATTTTTACATTATGCCAATGGCTTTGCATAGAGACTCATCTCTCTATCATTTTTGACCAGGAAATTACCTCAAGTTTTATGACGCCCTAAGAAATGCCTATCCAGATATTCAAGTTATCTCTAATTGTGATGCATCATCAACTCCATTGAATCATCCAGCTGATCTATATGATTTTCATGTAAAAATTTCTCGACATTTTCTTTTGTATAATGTCTCCGGTATTGATGTACAGCTTTGAAATTTATAGCAACCAACTGAAGAAAGCCTTGTGTTTTTTTTAAATATATTCCAGATATACACTTCTGCGGCTGATATGTTTTCTAAGAGTAATAAGTTTGACAAGACACGACGTAATGGGCCAAAGGTACATGAAAGAGGATTATTTTGTAATTTCATCTGTAACATAAATTTTATTCACTATATACCCTCTGCTTGACAGGCTTTTGTGAGTGAATATGCTGTGACTGGAAAAGATGCTGGCACTGGAAGCCTTCTTGCTGCATTGGGTGAAGCCGCATTCCTTATTGGAATAGAGAAAAATAGGTAAGTAATACATATGTGAACTGTGTTTTTTCTTCTAGCCATATAAACTGCTGAATTTCTGACACAGATATCTGCAGAAAATTTGAACATACACAGAGGTTGCATTAAATGCTTTGGGTAGAGTTTGTTTACATTTTTCTGTGTCAACCCACACAAACTTATGTTGTTGAAAAATTGCGTTGTATTTTGAGCGCAGTGATGCTGTTGAAATGGCAAGTTATGCTCCCCTTTTTGTAAATACCCATGATAGACGATGGAATCCAGATGCTATTGTTTATGATTCTTCACGCGTCTATGGTACACCTAGCTACTGGATGCAACAATATTTCACAAAATCCAGTGGGGCAACTCTTCTCAATTCAGCACTTCAAGCCAGTTCCAAAGCTGCAGTTGTTGCCTCTGCAATTAGTTGGAAGAATGCAACAGACAACAAGAACTATATAACTATTAAGGTATGGAACCTTTATATATTGGGCTTCTGCAATTCTTAATCTGAAACTATAAGTAGGAATTCCGTGATAAATACTGACACAGGAACACTTCCCTAGCATGCTCCTCTTGGCATATTTGATCTCACATGAGCTTAATAACACATTAGCACCATTGCTTTATTATCTGAAGTTCAAATTTTGCTAATGTAAACCTATCATGTCTACTAAATGTTTCTGTTGGTTCAATTATCTATTTGCTACCTTTTGTAATGAGTTTGATACACCCAGCATTTTCGTAAAATCACAGAAGGTTAGATTCATGTGGAGTAATAAGTACCGAGTTTGTGGCAACTTCGTAGAATAACTATTGTCTGGTGGGATGTGTAGAGAACTAGAGATATGTCATCAATTACTCAATAAGTTCTTATAATTCATTGAGGTTGGTGTAAGAGATGCTTTACCTGCTCAAGCTTCGGCTTCTTTTCACCTGGAAACCCTGAACTAAACTTATATAGTCCTTGGCTCTTGACTAATCTGAACTTATTGGTCCTAATCATATTTTAGTGGTAGATTGAACTTAGGTAGACCTTATCTGAGTATATTATCCTCAATCTGAACTTATGAAAACTTATTGGCTCTTGTCTATACTTTTTCAAGGGTAAAAAGAACAAAGCCTCAACATCAGAAGCAACTTATATATTCCTAAATTTCTGTTAGATTATTCAGATACCTGTCTCATGGTAGTTATGGTACCCGTATGACTTATGAATTTGTGATTGAGGAATGCATTCTGGTATACGTAGTACATATTTACTTTTCAGTCCTTTTAAAAAGGGATTTGATTATTGGTGCAGATTGTGAATTTCGGAAATAATTATGTGAACCTCAAGCTCTCAATTGGGGCTGAAAATTCTGTACAGCTAGTCGGGTCAAAGAAGACTGTTCTTACCTCTACCAATGTAATGGATGAGAATTCATTTCAAATTCCTAATAAGGTAATATTCGAAACACATGACTTCAGTCTGCAACTCATTCTTGATGATTGAGCTCTTATAATAGTCAGTTTAGTGTGGTTCTACTCTTTTATACCACCAACATATATCTGTACATCCCTTTAGAAATCCTGCACGGTCGTGTAGATTGTAATATGCATATGCTAAGCAACAAAATTCTGTTTCTACTCCCTCCTTAGAGAATTAACTGTAACGCTGCCTTGACTTCTGAACTCCCATGATAAATCTAAGGACATTAGAATATTGATCATAAATCATTACTGTTATAGGAAGCGTGACAGCTTTTTTACTTTACTCCATCATAGAAAGTGTTTGTCAGATTATCTGGGACTGAAAGGTTTTTGTTACTGACAGGTGATTCCATCTTCTTCTCGTTTCACATTAACTGGCAAAGAGACGAATATCATGCTCCAGCCGATTTCTTTCACTTCATTTGATGTGATACAAGAACAACCAAGTCATCTGTTACTGAAGGAAGCAGATTCTGGCCTAAAATCTTCTATATGATCTCATACAGTATACAGTTTGCACAGACACCAGACACATCCAAATACAGATAATGGGCTTTGTACACTAGTACACTCTTTGTATTCTGTAACAAGCGTGTGTCTTGGGCCGTGTACAAGAGTTGATTCAACTCTTAACGAAGCCCACACGATTAAGACCAGCTTGTTTCTTGCAAATTTATCTTTATGGTTCATTGGTTGTATAGATTCAAGGTTGGCTTATGAGCCTGTTGTATATCATATAGATGTCATTTTTATCAATAGTAAATGATTGCTTTGATTTTCCTTTATGAGGTATCCTTTCTTTATCAATTATAAAAGTGATGTTCAGTAAAAAATTATATTATTCAGCAAAAACAAGTTTCAATAAATAAAAACATTAATACCGAGAGACAGTGAATACATAAATTAAATTTTTAATTAATAAAATTAATTCTTGAAATAAAGTGAGTAAATAATGAAAAGTGGTGGTATATGGATTGCATACCTATATATTAATTTGTGTTGAAATTTTATCAACCATTCCTCTTATTTCTCACTTGATCTACCCTTCTTCTGAAAAATGGCCCTTTGACTGGCTAGTATGGTGATCAATCACATGATAAGTAGGTAACATATACTACTATAGTGGAAATTAAACCCCCTTTATAACCTCTTCTTTTCTGAATAAGTCTGATTTTAATTAGCTCCAATCTATGAATCTCTACTAATCTTCACAAATTACAAAGAGTGTTCCAAAATAAAAAGGAAGCAGAATGAAGAGAGTATAAGGTAAATTTTTCATCAAAACTAACACTCACGATTTCTTCTTCCGTTCAATATTACATGTCATGTATATTGTAATTTGAACTAGTAATGTAACATTTAAATTCAAATGAATACAATGCTATGAAAGAGTTTTATTTTCTCATAATTATGTTGCACTTTGGTTTTTCTTGTGTTATTTACTTGTATGTTAATTAAAGAGCTTAAACCATGTCCATTATTACGCCCATTATAGTCGTAAATCAAGGTAATAATTATTTTTTTTTTTTTTTTTGAAGAAAAGTAATAAGTATTATTGCTTAGAATGTTCTTTATTAAATAATGAATTCTTCAAGTTTTATTCGAATGTTCACCAATGCATCTACTATATGCATAAATTTGTCCTTGACTTCTATTCTTAATAGGTTTTCTCTGTTATTTTAATTTGCAGAGTTTTGTGCCTATGTTCCATGATGAGGAGGTATATATCTAATGCATAAATAGATTATGGCCTCTTTTTAATTATCTATCTTTTTTTTTTTTTTAAATAAAAGAAAGATAATGAAAAAGAGGCCACAATATATTGTTGCACAAATAGGAGCATCTACCACGAGAGAGTCAAGTTTTAGTCTCAATTTGATGTTTTACAAGGTAAGATAAGATAGACGTGTATGAAAAAGGTAAATGTTGTTTGATTACTATCTATGATGTCCTCTTTGATTAATTACCAGGCCGTACTTTTCTAACAATATAGAAGTATTGTCTAAATAAATGTAATGGGTCGTGACATAATCGAGTCGAGTTTTTTGGGAACTAGCCAATTTGTGAGGATTTAACAAGTATTTTAATTAATAGGAAGCATGAAGTATCTAGATTATGATAACATTTCATAATTAATATATATATATATATATATATATATATATATTTAAAAAATGCATGGTTATTCATAAGGATGTAAAAAATAGTTCATAATTTACTAATATGTAAACAATATTGTGGATGAACTAGTTTATGATTAAAGTCTTGAGGAATAGTGCTCAAACCGCGAGATCATTTAATATAAACCCCTGATAAATTTTTATAAAAAATACGAAGTATACTTTCTCCGTTTTTATAATATACGACTGGTAGGTTTTTAACACAGAGTTTGAATAAAAAATCAGAGTAAAAACGTAAAATTAATAAAGATAAAGATCCCAGATTAATCTCTCTCACTAGTGTTTATGTTTATAATTTTCTTTTGTATTAACAATTCATTTATCTTTTCTTATATAAAAAATTATTTAACTTATTTAATTTCTTCCTTAAAAAAAAAAATCCTTAAATTGGGTGTCCTAAGACTATATAAGTCAACTAGTAATTAGTAAATAGTTAAATACTCCTCTCTTGTATGAATAACAGTGCCGAAAACTATATAAACAAGTACTCAAATCTTAAATTAGTATTTAGTAGTCTTTCAAAAAAAAAAAAAAAATAATCTTAAATTAGTAGAATTGAATCTCTATTTCCATACTTGACATTCCTCTGTTCTGAATTCTGATCTCCTCCAATGTCAAACCCTAATTCTAACGCAAACACAAACCCAAATGTAGAAGAAGATCTTGATCTTGATCTTGATCTTGTTCTTGAATTAGTCCCTCGAATCAGAATGGATTTCGGAATTGTACCAGTAAAAGGCGGTTACTTTTATCTAAGCTAACATTGATAGGCTCATCTCCTTTGCTATCGAAGTTCGTATTCAAAGTGTTTCAGCCTTCCCAAGAACGAGATTTCTATCAAATCAACCCGGAAATGGAATGATTCGAACAAAAATCAAAATGGGAGATTATTTCGGCGATGAAGGTGATGATTGGGAGACCAAACGTTGCAAGGCTATACAGTTTCTTCTTTAAGGAGATGCACTTCTTACATATGTTTGATATTACTGGAGGAAGCGAGATTGAATTTCGCCCTTTTATCAAATCGTCTGAGGATTCGCAACGAATGATTGACCACCTTTCAGGTATATTAATTGGTGCTTGAATGTACTCGTGATAATGAACTCATTGTTTTAATAGAATATATCCGTGCTAATGTACTGATTGAATTTTATATACTTATGCTAGTGTACTTATTGAATTGAATATATTAGTGGTAATGTACATATTGAATTGAATATACTCGTGCTAATGTACTTATTGACTTGAATTTATGTACTTATTGAATTGAATATACCCGTGAATCCGTGATAATGTAATTATTGAAATTGGATACTACTTGCTCACAGGGTTTACACAGGAGGAGGCACCGACTATTGTTCTTTAAGAATGTGCCTTGTGAATGGTTTGCTGACTATCAATCAATGGAGAATCTTCGAGCTTATTTTCATACTCTTGGGAGACTTAGGTATCACAGCTATTTTGATTTTGATTTTTTTTTTTTTTTTTTGAACATTATTTGCTGCCAAATTTTCACAATATACCCATTTCTATGTTGAATTTCTTGTGTTAATAAGCATCACACTTGGCTTATTGACTAAAATTTTGAGATTTATGAGTATCTTTCTCTAGTGATTTACACAATTTGTTTCATAGCTGAAGGAATCTTGATGTTGATGACAACAATATCTTCATCAAATTTGAGGACCCCGAGGAGTGTTCCAAAGCCTTAAAAAAGTTGTGCTCCTGTTCTTTGAAAATGAAAAATGTATTTTTTTTTTAACCTTTCTTATTGCAATTTAATTGCTTAGCCCTGTTCCTGATCACTGATATTGAGCACCATTTTTATACTGTTTGTATAGATCATGAAGATGTTGATGTAGCTATTGTCAATGTACTTCTACCTGCTAAATAGTATTAGTTGCAAACACACTTGGTAATACTTTGTTCCAGATTTTTACTTAGCTCATACACGAATCATGCAACACAATACATCCTCTGAATGCCAAAAGGCACAACTGAACATATACTTTGATAAACAAACAACACCCTATCTCTTGCCACCCTTGCCAAATGAAGTGAGAAACCCAGATTTTAGATTTGTATGGCACTCTGTGATCAATAGATATAGGGTAATTTAAAACATATATATATGAAATTTTATTCCTGCATAATATTCACATGCAAATTCTCTCCCCTGGAGTTTGTTTATTTTGAGTCTTCTCAATTGTTTAAATCTGTGCTGTTATAGTTGGTATATGCTTGAGCCTTGTCAATTGTTTTATAGGAATCTCCCCTCTCCCTTGGGAAATAGTTGAAGCTTGGAGCCTTCATGAGTTACGCATGCAATTGTGATTTTTGAATCATTTCAAATACTTTTATATCCATCAGTTTGGAATAACATTCTTGATTTTAATGTGTAGAATAATGTATCAAGGATGGTCGACTATGATTTGGCATTGAAGGACTTGCCAGATTCTAGCATCTCCCAAGAAATGTTCACCAACAACAGTGTTTCTTTAAAGAAGGATGATTATGTGTCAATGAGCAAGGAAACTTTCAAGGGGCAGGACATGCAGAGGAGGTGAAGTATTTGAAAGCTAAGATGGAGGCATCTCTTGCTGGTTAACCTCACTAAGTTGTTATGATGAAACTATTTATTCTGCATTAGCCTTTTGCCTTTTGTGAACAGAATGTTGTCCATGTATATATTGCTCCACGGTGCTGTGTATATTGTTCCCCATAGCGATTTTTCTAGGTGCAGGACAGGATATGCATGCTCTGATGATTCAAATGACACAACTTGCGGAGGGGTTAAAGTTTTTGAAAGCTAAGATGGAGGTATCTCTTGCTGATTAATATCACTAACAAGTTGTGATGAAACTATTTATTCTGCTTTAGCTTTTTACCTTTTGTGAACAGAATGTTGTCTGTGGAGCTGTGTATTGCTCCCCATAGCTGTTTATATCTGACTACGGAGCTGTGTTATTCTGCCTTGTTCCTTTTTGGAGGAATTGGAAGTTATGAAAGGTGATTATATGTATGTATTTTCTGTGTTGTGATCAGTATCTACCCTAACTTGCATATATATATATATATGAAATGTAAATGCAATTATATTTTAAGATTTTTTTTTTTTAATTTTTACGGGAATATTTTAAGATCAAAATTACTAGAGTTATATAAAAAGTTTATTTTGTCTTAAAGTTTAGTGATTTTAATTTGAATATTTATCCTTCTACAAATGAACATGATGTCAAACTAAAATGATCATTTATGATAAATTAAATTACTAGCCATAATATTCATTAAAGATCATTCTAATTAGCAAAATAATAGTATTAATTGATAATTGATGTTTAAATTCCATAAATTAAATTGATAATTTGTCTATAATTTTGTAATTATTATTTAAATGATATTTCTTCTACAAACGAGCATGAATTCTATTTGAAATGTACATTTACAATAGTTTAAATTTACTTGCAAAAATTCACCAAATTACAGTTTTAATTAATGAAATAAGTAATTATAACTGATAATTGATGCCAATTCCATAATGCAAAATGATAGTGTGTCTTCAAAATTAGTAATATAATTTGAACAATAATCCTTCTGCAAATGAACATGAAGTACGTCTAAAATGAACATTTGCGATAGATTAAATTTACTAGCTAAAATTCACCGAATAGCAGTTTAATTCACAAATACGTAATTTTAAATTGAGAGTTGATTTTTCAATTCCAGCTACCCAATATTCAACATAATAAAAACTTACATATCGTCAGATTCTTTGTTTTTGGTCTCTGAATACTTTTCTCCGAAATACTCTTCTCAATTCTAGAAAAATAGTACAAATGATAATATACTTTAATTATTTTCAGCAACAATATGTGTAATCATAGTAGAATACATTTTAGAACATATTATCGTAAATATAAATAGAAAGTTTAGGATTTACACATTTTTTTCGTTCAAAAAATGAACAAAATACTTACTGTTTCAGAGATTGTTGTTGCATTAGAAAAATTTCCTCGAGAATGCTATATATTTGGAGTATCTTGTAGCAATTTTATACTATATAAGCGTGAAAATGTTTGAGAATGAAGATTTTGATGAGAGAGAAAATCCTGGGAAAACGATGAAGAGGAAGGTTGAAGAAAGAAAAATGATTTTGGAATGGTGTTTTAATTTTTTTTTTACTGTATATATTTGTGGGGGTAGGTGTAAATTAATTTGCAGGTTAATGCAGTTAGTGGAGGTAAATGGGGTAGTGAGGGGATGAGGCTAAACGTAGCGTTTCAATGAGGGTGTAGGCAATGATGCCTAAAGGGGGGTGTAGGTATTAAGAATTACATTATTATACCTTGTTGATCACTAGTGGACCGAAAATATTAGAGGGGCCTGGATTTCAATCTTTCACCTCTTGCATGATATGAGACATCGTCTTCAACCTTTGACACATTGTTCTCAAATTCAATATACAAATTCATTTTTTTTTAATGGATCAATATATATATACAAATTCATCAAATGTCAAAATTGAAAATAAACAATGAATTTGACGATAATAGTGCAAAATTTCTTACTAAAATATAAAATAACATAATTAATGATGAAAATTATTAAATATGAAATTCATACAAATTACCTTCTCCTTTGTTTAACATATCCTCAAATTCACCTTTATTCTCAATCATGCCATTCGCATAACCATCAACATAACAATGATCAGAATCATGATGAAATTCACAACCATTATTCTATTTCTCTTGCCAAATTTCTATTTCTCTCTCTAAAATTTCTAATTATTTCTCTAAAAAAATTCAATTTACTGCAATATGGAGGATTATAAATTTGGATATGATAAATATGGCAAATACTAGCAAACTCCTTCAATTAAGGAGCGTATATTTCACATAACTAATTTTGTGCTGCTATTTTCATTCGGGTGTACCATGCGCTCATGGTACACCCTGGTGTACTATGTAAATTTCATAAATCTAGTGGGGGCAAATAATACTTTAAGGACAATGATTCTTCACGTCCCTTTGATTATTTTCCTAACAAGTACTAGTAATATGTATTTTTAGTTAAGACTTTTATATTGAAAACTTTTTGGTATATCATTACAAAATTATGTTTACATATTGTTTCTAATTACGAGTAATTATATTAAAATAATCGTCACATGAAATCTCGTTAACATTAGTCTATATTCAACAAGATAATCATATTATCTCGATAGAATCTCGTTTACATTAATGTCCGATTATGACCATCTATACTCTAAATTGTTAATACATGAATGTCGAAAAACCAACTCACCATCCCACAGAAAAGGAAGAACGCCATATTAGAAAATCTCCCACTAACTGCGACCTTCAACTTCTCCCTTTCTACCCAAAACATAAAGCTTCAATACCAGAAACCAATAAATAAGCTCAAAATCACCAAACATTTTCACTTTTTTAGTTAAATTTTCTCGATAATTCAAAACCCTTTTCTCAAAAATGGAGGAACAATCAACAACCCTCCTAAATCACACACCCACAAATTATTTAAGAAATTATCTCACTTCCACTTTCTCTCATTTTCTTCCATTAAACCATCCTTGCATCAATGGCGGCTACTCGGAGCTTCGAATTGATGATGATTCCGATGATGGGTCATCTGATCAACCTTACTGTAAACCCTTTGTTGTTCTTGATGTAATTTGGAATTTGGGGTTTGTTTTGGTGTCTGCTTTTGTGCTACTTTGCACAATTGCAGAGAAACCCTCTAGCCCTTTAAGGGTTTGGATAGGTGGCTATGCTTTACAATGTTTATTGCATGTGGGGTTTGTTTATTACGAGTTTCGCCGCCGTAATCATGGCGGTGTTTCGGCGCCGGAAGGCCATTTGCAGTCTCACAATAGGTATACTTTTATGCTTTGGTACAAAATCTTTGTATTTCTTGATATTAGTTGTATATTTGATTTCTTTTGGGTTCAATTGAAAGAATTGGGTATAATTGATTTATTTGTGTTGTAATTTTCATGTTAGAGGTGACTTTAATTGGTGGGTTTTGCTTGTAGTTTGGTGAAATCCTGATATGTTTGGTATTTGCTGTAGGTGAAAGAAAAAGTTTAGCATTTTTCTGATTGGTTTTGGATAGTGGGTTGAGCCTGTGATCGGTTGGATTTAAACACTGGAGAAAAAATAATGAAAAAAAATAAATAAAATTGACATTTTGGAATTGTCATTGAATTTTTGTTAGTTTACTGACTTGATGAATATGATGATAGTGATATGACTGATATCTTTGATTAATGGGTAGCCAGAATATAGGAAACAAAAAAAATTTGACATGTTTTGTATTGCAATTTGGGGGTATTATGATATTGATTGAAACTGATGTCTTTGGTTGATAGTTTATGGTTGTTTACCAATAAGGCCCAAAATCACTAAATCATAATCAGTACTCCGGTAGTCTATTCGCTATGCTTTAAAGTTGTCATCTGTCAAAATTTATGGTTAGGGATTATCTATATTTATATTAGTAGGAATTTTTTTATGGTAACATGCAGAGGTTAGGTTGAGTTAATGGTTGTGGACGGGCTCTGCATTCTTTGTGGTCCTTCACTCCTTCTTCTGTTATCTGGTTCATTGAGGGTATCACTGCTAAATCTCAATTGATCTGATTTTCAGTATTATGAAGAGATTGGAATCACTGAACACAGTAGCGTCATCCTTTTGGTGGGTTTTTGGATTTTACTGGATCGTGTCCGGAGGCCAATCCCTTTTGCAGGATTCTCCCCGTCTTTATTGGTAAGCACATCTCTCTTTTTGTTTCTATTTAACTCTTCGTTCTAGGTTCTCTTGTTCCATTTTAAATTAAATGCTATTGTTTCATAGGAAAGTATGAAACAGTCCAGTGTTAACTACGCAGTATTAAGGATTAAAAATTACTGGATGAAGTACTAGGAAGAAATTTGATCATGAATTCTAGTTAAGAGAGCTGACAAGTATGTACAGACTGAAAAAATGGGTTGATAGACTATAGCCACTTACTAAGCTCAAGATTGAATATTCTCCTCCCAAGTGATTGTAACTTTGCTTCTAGCGAATAGTGGGCTATGCTCTGGTGGCTTTTAAAATGTTCTTGTATCTTCTTGTGGTCTCATCTTTTAAAACCTACACTGCTCTAGTTGTACGTTTTTATGCAAACTTACAACAGTTCACATTTTACTAGTTTTGTCTGATGAAGGTCTATTAAATTTTGGTTGTCGTGTTGTTCTTACTGTTCTTGTTCTTGCTGAATTTAAGTGGACTGTTAGTGTTATTTTCCTTACAAATCAATATCTAGGTTGGTACCAGAGGGAAGTTCCTAATTCCTATATATTAGCACAGTAAGAAAAATGATTCATCATCATTTTAGATTTTTATGGGCAATTTGTTCAACTTGTGGTATGGCTCTATGTACATCTTGGACATCCCTAGAACATGATTAAGGTCGGATCCATATTGGACAGTGGTGTTCTGTTTTTGAGTGAGGGAAAACTTGAAGAAAGCAGAAGAAGGAATCGTTGGGAGCCATTGGTGGTCAACATTTTAGAGTCATGTTGATGCAAATGGGCCGAAATAATTGGGTGTTTGTACCAGCAATACTGTTGAGAGGGGTTGTAAAGGAGGTTTTAAGTATCAATGATGGTCATTGGTCAGTGTGAGAAATGTGATCCTCCAGCTCCTTTCATGTTGAGTAATCTCAGGTTTCAGTTGGAAACAGGTGAAGGGGACTTTGATCTACTGTTAATGCCGTGTAGTTAACTTTTATTAAGTGCTTTAAAGAGCAATAGATAAGTGTGTTGGGCCCTTTTAAACCCAGTTCTACTGGTCTCCTTCCTTCCTTGCTTATTGGTGGCCCGTGGCCCATTTGGTCTCAATTCAATATACGTCATGATGAGTGGATTTTTTCAGACTTTGAATCCTTTTTATCGGTTGGTAATTTGCTACATCATTTCCCTTTTTCATGATCCTGAGGAGAATGGCTTTAGTTCATTTTTGTAGTTGCGACGTTGCGTGGTGGCAATATGAATCCATTTAATTTTCAAAAAGTTCAGTAGAGCGCTAAATCTTAATCTGATTGTCTTATGGCCTTTGTGAAGCTGTTGTATGCAATCTTTGCAATGAAACTTATGGATAGATAATGAATGTATGTGCTTTGTGTTATTTTTGGGGTTGTTGGGGGTCCTTGGGGGTATGGACGTTCCCTCTTCTTCTTCTTCTTTTTTTTTTTTGGAGGGGGTCCTTGGGGGTATGGACGTTCCCTTTTCCAAATATTGTAGGTGCACAAGGACTCTGGGTCTCATTATT